CTAAGTCTTGTCCTAAGGCAACATAGTCTGTCTTGGAAATTCATTCATTTTAAGGTAAGTATAATATGCCTGGTGTCTATCAAATACTAAAGAAATCAGAGGAAGGCAAAGCACATCCCACGTGTGCTATGGGAAGGAGGAACAATTTCATGGAAGATGCGTGTTTTGGTCAGGCCCAGAAGAATTGGTAAGATTGTATAAAAGTAGAAGGATATTCTACTAGGGGCAAGTGTGAAGAAGTAGGAAAGCATAGACATTGCTCAGAAAATGGCAAAATGTGTTCATTTTGCTATATAAGATTGGTGTATGGCACAGTAGGGAAATGGTTAAGAAATGTAGGTTGGTGTTTGAAAAGTCTTGTATGCCAAGCTAGGGAGTTCTCAAATTTCAGAATACATCAGAGTCATCTGGAAAGCTTGTCAAAATACGGATTTCTGGGCCCCATCTCACAGAATTTTTTATTCAGTGGGTGTGGAATGAGCGCAATAATACGCATTTCTAACAAGTTCCCAGGTGATGCTGATGCTGGTCTGAGGACTCCATTTTGAGAACCAGTGATCTAATTCATGAAGAATTTAAGATTCATGAGAGGTTTTCTTAGAAAATATTTTCACTTGTTTGACACTAATTTGGATGGATTACCTAACTTTGAGATAATTAGTCCTAATTATTAACTATTAGCTAAATGTAATATCTCTTTTTTGGTAATAAAACCTTTTTTTTTTTTGAGGAGCTAAGGCCACTATCTTTGTAATGTATAATAATCATGTTTTTTGAGTTTGGACCAACTCCTTTCTATCCTGGGTTCAGAAGGGAACAGAGAGCAGAAAGTAGGGATAGTTCTCCACCTCATCACCCAGACCATGCCCGGCCTGGTTCAGGGCTCTACAGGGTGGTTTGACAGAGGAGGCTATATGGTAGAAGAGAGCAGGGGTGTGGTGGGGGAAGCTGAGATGAGACGGGGCAGGGTGGGGGGTGGGGAGAGGAACCACCTTCTAGCTCTGTTTAAGCTGTTTAGGTCTCCAGCTGGGCTTCCTATGTAAACTTTTGTGATTTAAATTGAAATAATTTTACATGTTTTACGTATATGTGGAGATTTCTGATTTTGCGGGTTCATGTGCAAGATGGATAGGAGATACTTATTTACCCTGAAAAGTAGTTTTCTTTGTTTTCCCTTAGAATTGCAGATCATGGTAGTGATTATTATAAATAAATCCCACTCTTCCTTTGACATGAGCATGGTTAATAACCTGCTTCCTTCTAGATAAAGTGGATCAGAATGCAATAGGCCAAAAATAGCATGCATATCTTGTAATCCAAAGTCAATGAGCAATATAAGTGATTATGGTTTTGTAAAAGGAGTTTTGAAATTTGTAGAAGGATTTTAGATACATGTATAGGATTGTGTTTGTTTATTTTTCGATTCTGTTGATAAAAGCAACAGATAACTATTGAAAACTTAACTCTTGATATGAATATGCAAAATTTTTTGTTGTTCGATTCTAATTTTGTGTGCACGGCTTCCAGCCTTTTTCTTCATGCTGGTGTTTTTGTCCCTTCAGCTTTCTCATGGAACATACAGCCTGATGTAATACTTACAGCCTGAGTCAGTCAGAGGGAGTGTCAGCATCTCCATTTCCTTGAGATATTTAAAATGCAAACATGCAAATAATAGCTGCCTATAACTCACAACCAAGTTTTTGGCCTCTGATAATAATTCCAGGTAGAATTATTCTGGAAAATAACTCTTAAACTGCAGTTTTCCTTACAGTCCCTTCTATTTGCTCAACTTACATAGGATAAAAAATCTGGCTCCATTAGTTAATTATGATGTAGCCCAAGTTTTAGCTACTAGCTTCATCCCTTTACTGATTCTGCTTTTAGATATATTTTTTCTCTTTTAAAAGTTCATTTACATGGTCATCATTTCTACTTCTCAGTATACAATTTCTTCCAAAAAATAGGACAAGGACAAATACCAGTTTGGTAAGACAAAGATCTTTTTCCGTGCTGGTCAAGTAGCCTATCTAGAAAAATTGAGGGCGGACAAGCTGAGGGCTGCCTGCATCCGGATCCAGAAGACCATCCGAGGGTGGCTGCTGCGGAAGAAGTACCTGCGCATGCGGAAGGCGGCCATCATTGTGCAGAGATACGTGCGGGGCTACCAGGCCCGATGGTAGGTCTCTCGGCGCCTGTCCACCCTGACTCAGGGCCCCTGGCATTGGAGAGCTCATTGTCCAACTGAGGACAGTTTTGAGTGGTCTTCCCATTTGAGAAGGCAATGCCTCACCTCTTCTTAGTTTCAAAGAATAACAGGTTTACTCACAAGACAGTAAATAGAGTAAAATTTCACTCACCCTTATGAATGATGTAGATTCATCTTCAAAAAAATTACAAATTACTGCCTACTCATGTCCCCAGTATTTTTTATACTTTGTACTTTTATGTGAGCTTGAAGAAATCATCTTTAAATTAAAATAATCATGAATATGTGCTTGTTAATAATGATTCCATTGAGGAGTTTTTAGGAGCAGTTAACTGAGGAGATCTGGAAGAGAGTGACACTTCAGTGTGATTACATGTGAAGATAATTTTAATTTAGGACTGTCAGTAGGAATGAATTAATGATGAAGAATTTATGCCCAAACAGATAGATTAGGGATAAATAGACACATTAGCAATGGCACTTCTAAGAAAGCTGGTGGTAAGTAAGCATGGGATGACTGTGGACAGCCAGTTGGCTATGTAAAAGGGACAATATGCACTGTTCTAGAAAGAGCAAACCTTTTTCAGCTTCACTTTCTTTATTGTAATATCAGGTAATGTGGGACATCCTACTTTTCTGGGTTAGGGAAGGCTCAAATCAGATAATGAGTGCAAAAATATTTGGGGGAGCTATAAGTTGCTATACAAATATAAGTGATTTAACATGTACATTATTAGAACAATGACAGTGGAGGTACTACTTATTATGCTGAAGATATTGGTGCTTTAAGGCTCTACAAAACTTATTCCTGGCTTTGTCTGACTACTGACAACATACTGCTCTTTTCTTTGGCCAGTTATGCTAAGTTCCTGCGCAGAACCAAGGCAGCAACCATCATTCAGAAATACTGGCGCATGTACATAGTCCACAGGAGATACAAGATAAAACGAATGGCCACTATTGTTCTTCAGTCTTATTTGCGAGGCTACTTGGCCAGAAATAGGTACCGCAAGGTGAGGCATTATTTCCAACTTTGTTTATTCATTCCATGAACATTAATCAAATTCTACGTCTGTATAGAATACCACGGGGGTTCCTGTGGGCATAGAAACTGAAGGGAGACAACCAACAATTGAAATATATTTTTAAATATTAAATAAGTACATATATTTATTAACAGGATAGTGGATAAATTACCTCCTTTTCCCCCTTTTATCTTTGTAATTTTAAAAAAAAGTGTATTAGTTTCCTATGGCTGCTGTAATAAATCACCAACAACTTGGTGTCTTACAAAAACAGGAATTTATTCTCTCAGAGTTCTGAGGCCAAAAGTCTAAAATTGGTATCAATGGACCAAAAACCAAGATGTCAGCAGGGCTGTACTCTCTCCAGAAGCTGTAGGAGAGAATCTGTCTCTTGCCTCTTCCAGCTTTTGCCAAGTGGCTGCTGGTGTCCCTTGTGTTTGTGACTATGTCACTAAAGCCTCTGCCTCCATCTGCACATCATCTTCTCCTCTGTGTGTCTAACTTTGCTTCTTTTGTCTGTCTCTTATGAGAATGCTTATGATGGATTTGAGGCCCACCCAGATAATCTACAATAATCCCCCTACCTCAAGATCCTTAATTTAACCACCTCTGCAAAGACCCTTTTCCCAAATAAGGTAACATTTTCAGATTCCAGGGATGAGGATCTGAGGTCCTTAGGGGCCTTTTTTCAGCCAATTATGATGAGCTGTGAATAGGTAGAATATATGATAGATGGGCATAAGATAGTTCCAAGAATGAAACAACCTTAGAAGAATTTAACATGGTGAAAAGAAAATAAATTACATTAATGTGGTTACAGTTGTATTGATTAGAATATGATGCTTGAGACATTTTTGACAAATAATCTTTATAGCTGGCAATAATCAACATGACTATACATAATGGATCACCAGATTAATCTTAATCATCACGTCTGACAGTATATGATTTTTATCTCTTATTTTGGCAAGGCTTTGAGTCTGTCCTTTAGGACATACTCTACATAAGACAAATACAGTCTGGATTTTAGAGCTCTGTGGTCATCATCGTTAGAAGGAGCATCAGTAGGGTAATTTGAGAGACATGTCTCTGGTCACAGACAATGCGTGAGCATGACCTAGGTCCTATTTATGTGTTTATATTTCTTATTTTGAAATAATTTTAAAGAATAAGGAAAAATGAAAGTTGATGAGACTTGAATGAGCATATTCTATAGCTCTGTTTTAAAGAAAATTTGAAGACAGCTACTCTAGGTCTCTCTCTCTACCCACACCTTCTGGTGCTCTTTCTCTACAAGCATGAGCTTTCAGGGAGGGAATAGCCTTGTTAATCTTGACCTTTTTGATACAACAAACTGGTTACCCTACTCCCTGCCTCGCACTCCCCCACCATTTGCCTCAGGAACATCTGAACCGGGTTGTGGGGCCATTGGTTTAGCAGAGGCAGGTTCTGGCCAATTCAGCTCCCACTGTGACTAGATGTGGCAGGGGTTGCAAGTTAGAGGCTAACTCACATTTAGGCCAGTAGTACCCATTAGTGCTTCCTCTAGCTGTATTCAAGTCCAAGCTTCCCCTTCATGGGATTTGGGGATCTTAAAGGGAGAGCAGGTGTTATTTAATTTTTCTGACTCGCTGATGGACATGCGATTGAGAGTGGAAGCTCTCTGTTTACTGTTTCCATTTGACTAAATTTCAGAAATGGACCAATGTCTGAAGTAACGTGGAAAGAAGGAAATGGAATAGGAAAATGGCATTAATAGCTTTGCCACTGTGTGCTTCTGAGTTTTAAATCTGAAAGCCTCAGTTTCCATCACTGAGTCTAACCCAGTTGGTCACTAGTCATCCGGATGAGATTAGGGGCTCCCTCAGGATTTTGATGTTCTGTGAGAGCTCAGTTCTGGCTTCACTGCAATGTGAATCACGGCGACTGTACTTAGTGGAACCTGCAGGCTGCCTTAGCATTAGGATAGCAGCCAGAAAGGGCGGCCTTCAATTGCCAGAGGGACTAGTAAGATCTCCTAAACACCTATGATTTTTTTGTATTTGGTCATTTAAAACTTAACCACTTATCTCTTAAATGTATTCTTTAGAATGTTGCCTTTTTTTCATTGTTAAATAACCTAAAAAGAGAAGCTATTCTTTTAATGATTTTATTAAGGTACTCTCTCTTTTTGAATAGTTTCAGAGATTTTTACATATAAGAAGTTTCACAAGAGATACATTATGTCCATTTGTAATAATTGCTAATAAATACTTAATTAGGTGTGTATATTTAAACATCATCTATATCACATAAGAGTTATCTCATTAAACCTCAAGGTCCTTGGAAGGACCTCAAGGTTTTGGTAGTTTAACCTGTCTTAAAATTCAAGAATTTTTTCCCTATCATTTCTGGAAATTGTTTATAAACTCCCTACTTGATGGTTGTTATTGACAAATTCATTTCATAAGGCAACTTTTTGTTATAAGTTGTTTGTAAATTTAGGGTAATATAATTTTTTTCAGACAATATGGTATAAAATCAAAATTAAGATTAGTTTACTTCACTTCAACTTTTACTTTTCTTTTGAAGCTTCTCCCTACTACCTTTGCATTTCCTAAGTGGATTCCAGCTACATTTGAAATAGCAATGGGAGATCCTCATTAAAATGGTATTCTTCAAATATGGCAAACAAGAGTGTTATTTTTTTGTTTCTGGGGGATAAAGTCAATAAATCAGTAACAAACTTTGCAGTGCCCCTAGCGTTGGCTTCTATAGTCAGCTTGCAGGTCATGCCTCATGTTTTCAAGCATCGACCTAATGAATGGTCATATGGTATCAGCAGTAAGGGTGTGTGTGTG